CTCAGGAGCCATCATAAAAAAAAAACAGTTATAATGTCCTCCATTTCTAAACCACTGTAGCACATATTTTTCCACAGCCAGAATTTTGTCTAAAAAGCTGACACCAAAATATTAAGTTGTTTACAGAAATATTAACTCCAGTTTAAGGACTTTTATTACATAAATGAGAATGACAAAATCAAAATACTAAGGGAATTTAAAAGGACATTTAACATCTTGCTAAGAGTATATTTCCAGAGAACAAAATGAAGCCTATCCCTGTCAAACTTACTGCAGCCAAAGTGCTATAATAGTATTATCATTCCAGACCATGGTAGCTACTTCTCCTGCTTTAATCACTGTATAGAAGAGAATCATCTTCCCTGGTTTAGCCCACAAAAGTTAGATTCTATTTGATTCTTGCCTCCAGACAACATTTTTAAGCCAGTCACTTTAGCATATCATCTCTGAGGTCCCAACTGCTTTGACCATCCTGCTAAAAGCTATTCTCTGATGCTTTCAATGCTGCAGTCTCTTCTCCTTACTGTACTTTTTGTCTTTTTTTAAATTATTTTTTGGGGAGAAGGGCATGGGGCGGGGTGTTGATGATTTTCTATGGGGTTTGTTCAGTTTGCAGTTTTTTTATAAAGTGACAATTCCAGTTATCTCCTTAAAAAAACTTAAGCAAAATATAAAGTGATCTCTCCAGAGATCCCACGCACAACTGTACATTTGTGCCTTTAGCTTGGTGAGACATCAGATACACAGCAAGATACTAACACTTCAAAAACATCAACCAATTCTAACACTGCAGAGAGATTCCTTGAGGAAATTACTTTATGTAGGACCTGCTATGGGAAGTGAAGGAAACAGGAAAAACCTATGTAAATAGTGAACATATGATAAGTGTGTTTTATTGCTTGTGTCTCATCATTAAAACAAAACAAGTTCCCATGGTGCAACAGATGCTTCCTGAGGCAGATAGCCTCCCACAACACATGACTAAAACCTCAGTTAGTAACACCACGTTCTCCCTTTCACTAACCCCTTTACAGCCTACCTCCTGAAACCAGCTTCAACAATCCTTGACATATAAAGTAATAATATCAGCAAAGTCTGATAGAAAAATTCGTATTAGTCTGCCCTCATAATAAGTATAGAGGGCTTTTTTTTCTTCCTTTTTCTTTTTCTCTGCTGTACCACACCAAATAATAAGGAAAAAAGGAACTGTGGTGAAAAGTAACTACTTCATACTCAGACTAGAGCCCCTCTAACTTCCTAATAAGACTTCAACAAAATCCCTCATGTTTTGCTATTAAATCCCATGCTAAAAGTTTAGATCAGGTTTCCTCACATCAACTTTATCAAAGTCAAATACAAGTTTCTTTCCAGTCCATACAAAGTATGTCCAAAGGTCTTCCAGTATCAGATACGTTTTGAGAAAATAGGAAATATCTTTGTTCAAATTTCTTAATATCCTAGAAAAATTCCTTCTTTACAGAATGGTTTCATTTGGTCCTTCATTTAGAAGAAAAACAAGCTACAACCTAAAACAGCGCATGAAAACATTAGGAAAAATAAACTGCATGCAGATGAAATGTCTGGAATCACTGTAGGGAGTTAACTGTTGGAATTAGCAAATTAAAACACTTAAAATAAATAGTTCAACATCTTTAGCTCTTTTTACCTTCCTGTCTCAAAATAACTTATTTACAAGAACTTCCTTCCTTGGTGTAAATATATCCTTGCAACACTGTTGTGGTGCAGCTAAAACAGCAGAAAGTTATTCTACTTTGTCACATTCTTCCTGCCAAGTAAAAAGAGAATGGACACCTAATCCACATACTCAATATGCTGCTCTTCAGGAGTCTTGCAAGTAAAAACCATGCAGCATAAAACAGAAAATCCATTCCCTGCTGTTAAGTAAAATCCCTCTATTCCATGTAAGCTTAACTTCTAATAAAGTGGGTTTTTTAATTATCAGTCCTCATTCTTAATCAGAATAAGCAGCATTACCCACTGTGACAAAACAAAACAAAATAAAATCTTGCTCTGAAATATAAATAGGACATATTTAGTACATATTCAGACCTACTGTAATCAGGTAACCATGTTGTGTAAATGTAGATCTTTTAAGATAATGGTAAAGATTTAGTAAAAGCACTACAAGAAAAACAGAGGTTACTAGCTGAACTTGCAATTAAACTGCATTTCTCATTAATTTCAGGTTTGCATTTAATGTCTTAGAAGAAAGCACTCTATGCAAATACATATTCATCACTGATTTGCGTGGAAATTACATGTAGAAAAGTGCTACTTTGCAGAGAGTGGGTTATTAAATATTTCTTCAATAATTAAAAATGAACTAGCAGAAACAAGGGCTACAATTAAGTCATCTTATTTTATGCACAATGTGTAGTTTGAACATCTAGTTTCACCCATCTCTAATTACCCCAGCTGAACAGCATGCCTCATCAACCATTATAATTTCAGCCATTTAAGCAGGTCTTTAGCATAGTTTCTCTTGTTTTCTCTGGAAGAGGAAGAAATTAAGGTCAGATATAAAGATGGTCCACTGGAAACCAGAGCAAATCTTCTGAATACTAATAAAATGTTTCCAATGTATAAATGTTCCAGTATTGTCTTTTAACTTCCTCAGCTTCAGTGTATAAAAAATGCAGTACAAGTCAAGAGAAATCAAAGTACTGGGAAGCTCCTCAGGAAGCTCACACTCCATCACTAATGTTTCAGTTTGCAGACTGAACTGTGCCTGTCCCAAATATTCTGCAATAACAAAGGCAGACTATATGCATTATTTTTGAAAACTCATGGCAGTCAGGTGAAGTCCCTGGTGATCAGGAGAAAGGAAACATCACTCCTACTGAAAAAGAGGAGAAACACAGACCTGAGAAAATAAAGACCATTGAGCCTCAAACCTTTGTGTTTTGGAAGATCACGGAGCAGATCCTCATGGAAGCAATGTTACAGCACAAACAATGAAGTGATCTGAGACAATCCAGCTTGGCTTCCCTAAGGGCAGTGTCTGACTGATCTGGTGGCCTTCTATGGTGGGGTGACTGCGGTGGTTGATGGGGGCAGACCAAACAAATGTCATGTAACTAGATCACTGAAAGGCCTTTGACACAGCGGCACATAACATCCTCATCATCTCCAGACTGGAGAGAGATTAGAAGGATGGATCATTTGATGGATAAGGAACTGCCTGAAGGGACACAGCTGTCAATCCTTCTCTGCCCAGGTGGAAGCCAGTGATCAGTGGTGCCCTTCATGGCTCTCTCATGGGAGAGGGGTTCTTTGATACCTTCATCAATAACACAGACAGAGCACCTCAGCAAGTTTGCAGATGACATGAAACTGAACAGCACAGCTGAAAGAGAAGAAGAAAGAGATACCATCCAGAGGGATCTGGACAAACCTAAGGAGTGGGCCCATAAGAATCTCATGAAGTCCAAGGACAAAGTGTTGCACCGGCATTGGAGCAATGCATGACATGAACACAGACTGGGAGAAGTCATTGAGAGCAACCCTACCAAGGACTTGGGGGTGCTGGTGGATGAAAAGCTGAACATGAGCCAACAGTGTGCACTCACAGGCCAACAAGCTGCATCCTGGGCTATATTGAAAGAGCAGTGGCCAGCAAGTCGAGGGAAGTGGTTCTGCCCCTCTGCTCTTCTGAGATCCCACCTGGAGTGCTGCCTCCAGCACAAGAAAGACACTGACCTGCTGAGAAACAAGTCTGGCCAGCAAAGATGATCAGAGCACTGGAGCACCTATCTTGAGACAGGCTGAGAGAGCTGGGCTGTTCAGCCTGGAGAAGGTTCCAGGAAGATCTTATTGCAACCTTCAGTACATATAGGAGGAGTATAAAATAGAGGGAGAACAGCTATTTACCCAGGCAGATAGCAACAGAACAAGGGTGAGTGGTTTTAAACTAAAACAGAAGAGATTTGGATGACATGTTAGGAACAAATTCTTTACTTAGAGGGTAAAGAGGCACTGGAACAGGCTGTGCAGAGATGCTGTGATGACCCCATCCCTGGAAGAGTTCAGAGTCAGGCTGGATGGGGCCTGTTGATGCTGTTTGCACATAGGCACACAGAAAAGTAAGCAGCGTCACATTAAATTTGACAATAATTCATAACTCATTCATGGAGAACAATCTTCCCCTAGATGTTATAAAAAAGGATGATGAAACGGGGCTAGATTCTTCTCCCATTCATCTACAGTAAGAATGGGTGTCAGAACCACATGACAATACCCTCATTTTTAGGGAACATCTTCACTCCCCTTGGTTGTCAAGCATGTGCCTAATAATGGCCAGAAAGCAAAATAAGCAAGCACAACAAACTACAGAGACATTTCCATTCTTACCCAGTAATTCTGAGAATCCCAATGGTAAAGTTGAGTAAATGCAAGGGCAAGTCCTTTGCCAGGACCACCAGGAGCCTACCTACCAAACTCATTCAAGCACAGTCACAAAAACTTCCTTAGGTTGTAGGACTTAATTTACCATTAGTAAGGAAAATGTCCTTAATACTTGTCTGTAAAATGTAAACCAAACCAGAAATCTTTCTTCTGGACTGCTCTCTGTAATAGGTATTGTTTTATAACATGAAGTGCCTGCAACAGATCTAAGGTAAATAAGATAAGCCAGTGATGCCTCAACCAAGAAAACTGAGTGAAGAAACTGCAACACCAAGCAATGGATCACACCACTGTCTTACTGCAAGCTAAGTCACCTTTGCCCACCTCTCACACCAATCACAAAAGTAGCACCTTTTATACACAGTCATGCAAAACTTTCCTTTAGGCTAGAACAATGGACAGTAATATCCCACTTCAGACAAATACAGAAATTACTTTCCTTCCATATGTGTCTGAGGAAAGGGCTGAATTAAGAAGAACAGCAACAACTACTCAAGTGCTGAAAGAGCAGCTATACAAAACAAAAGGATAAAAAAGACTTCACGTATGCACAAGTAAAATTTTTTTACTCCTACCTCATCACTTTCATCTACCTCGATTCCACCATCTTTGTCATCATCCATCTGCTTATGGATCATGCGGAGCGCCTCCAGGCTGAACCGGTCCTCCTCAGTAAAGCACGGCGGGCTCAGTGAACTGCAGGGATCTAAAGGGAGGAGAACAAAAAGAAACAACACAACAGAAATGTTATTTACTTTCACTTCAGAATACAAAGCTCCCAAGCAAAAGAAAGGGTTTAGAATTCTGCATTGTGTATGTGTACTTCATTGCACATAATCACCAGGTCACAGATATCAAATTTAACTGTAAAATAGTAATTGTACAAAAAAAAAGTGAAAGGCTTGTGTGTGCAAATCAACTCTTTTTTTTATTCAGGAAGGAGTCCCAAAAAACAGACTGAAATAGTTTTGACTTCCATTTATTTATTTCATCCCACTAACTTACTATCTCCATTTTTTCTTTTATCATCCACATTTAGTTTATGCCAGTGCAGTGGCAAATAAAGCTACTGCATTTCCCACCCTCCTTCTGAAAGTCTGAACAAAACAAAGAACAGTGGAGGAAAAGAGAAGGAATTGTCATATCATACAATCATAGTTTCATAAACAGATGAAGGAATGGTAATCACATTGCAGATCAAATTCTAAATAGGCAGTACTACTGAACACAAAATACTCAAGGACTGCAAGAGCAGAAAGCACACTGCAAAGAGAATTCAGCTGATAGTAGTACACGATGTATTAGTCCTGTACACTGATCACAAACTGCAGTCACTGTAGAGCAGGATTCCAAGACAAAAATAGAACTCTTTCATTTGCATTCATTACTGAAGGCTCATGATTTGCACACATCTGATGGTTCAGCTTGCACCACATCAAACTGCTAAATCTGTGTTCTTTCCCTTCTACAAAGTACATGCCAAATGCTCCAAAATTCTACAACACATGATGATCAACCATCACCACAGCAGCTTTACACAGACCTTGGCATTCACTAATAGCAGCTATTACATTAATTCTGATGTACTGAACACCAGCAAAGAACAGAAGGTGGAGAAAGATACAGAAATAGTTTTTTCAAAATTGAACTTAAATAAGGTAACAAATTCCCACTGTACTAGCCACTATAAAACTGCACTGACTAGTTCCATAAATTGTTACACTACACTTAAATCATATCAGTGCAAGTAAAAATTGAGGGAGCATATAAGTAATTTTGCTCCTTCTAATCTATCAAAGAATTAAGCTTTCATGTTGCTACAGAATTTATTAAAAGGCTCACTTATATAAGTAAAGGAAGCACTTCTAGAAAAAGAGAGGAATCAAACATCTTCAGAAAAAATAAATTCTTTAGTTTATGATTTCATACCAGCTGGATTAGCATGATTCTGCTTTTCTTTCTAAAACAAATTTTAAAATAATTAAAAATCAAAATAAAGGAATGTATAAGCTTACAAAAGCAGGAAGTGCAAAGATAACAAGCATGACATAGCTGGAATCTCAGACACATAATTAACAGGACTGGCTTCCACAGCTAGACATGAGTCAATGCATTCCTACTTCATACTTCAGTTTTACTACACAGGAGTTAAAGGAAACCTGTTATCTGTTCCCAGGCATCAATTAAACAAACAAACAAACAAACAAAACATAGCAGAAAAAACCTGAACACTTCACTGACACTGTCCAAGAACAGACGTGTTGCTTTTAGAACTACTTCATGTATTTCTAAAAGCAACACTTAAGACAAAGATTTCTATATTTATTAGCTACTGAATTATTAAGTATTAATAAATATTTAATTAATAAAATACTTATTGTTATTGTTATTGTTGATTACTAAATATTAAACTGGACCAATCACAAACAATATAATTTTCAGCTTTGGAATGCAACTGATATTATATGAAGGGGAAAGGGTTAATTTTCAAAAAATCTATTTTATTTGTCCATTTTTTATTTATTACAAAAGGTTTAATTTGCACAATACTCAGCATTTAGATTTTTGCCTTGCAATGAAAAAATTACGATCATTTGAGGGAGTGAAGGACCTATTCCTGCAGCTACAGGGTGCTCCATGTAGAAAGGTTTCCCTTGCAATGAATCACCTCAAAGTTCTAATTATTAAGTTCTCACAGCCATGAACAAAAAATATTATTTTACTAAAATACAATCATATCAGAAGAAAAATCTCTGTATTGCAAGTTATGATCTATACTGTATCTTAAGTTAGAAGAAAGTATAGTTGTCAAAACATTAACAGATCCCTCAAACAAACCCAACTTGCTTAATTTGTACTTAATTCTATTCTAACATGGAATCACATTTCAGATACACGTGTTCACAGTTTGCAAGCACTCATTCAAATGTGGTTTTTTTTCATTTTATTCAGCTGAAAGCCCAGTTTTTCAAACCAAAAACATTTTCTCAGAGTACATTTTCTCACAGCCAAGGCTGATCAGTCCCCTTAACCAGGGTACTTATCTTAAAGATGCCTTTTTAGGATATTTAAGCATGAAGGCACTTTAAAGAGCTATGGCTTTTCTTGAGAGAAGTAAACAGGCTGCTTGTGCTTCAAATGTCCCATGTGCTGGCTCCAAGAACACTTGATCTCTCTCTTAAGAGCCGATAGAGTGCCAATTGCTCTTTTTGGGAATGAGAAAAAGAGCAGGACCACATGTCAACTCTAATAAAAATTAACCCACTCTGAAGAGAATCCAGATTTATTTTCAAGCTTATTTTCATCTGGTAAAGTTAAACATTTAGACTGACAACACTGGTCATCCCCTTCCTCAGACAACAATCTCACAATGAACTACAAAGCCACAACCTAAAGAATAAGTGAAAAGCATTTCACAAGCATACCTATGGAGCCCTACCAAATCCAAAAAACAGCTGATGGAAATTTGATCATCTGCAGTTCTGCAGAATATTCTACCATACAGTAGTTTGCCTCAATTGCATGGCACAACCAATTCAAATTAATACTACATGGAGTGTGGTTAGTTACCTGGATGTCTGGGAGGTTTTTAAGACAAAAGCCAAGAGACAAAGCCTCAAGACACAGCAAACACCATAAATATACCCCTGAAGCCCCACAACAAATCATAAGCCTAGTGGATAATTTTTTACTTTGAATTGACATTACTGAAGATGTTCTGGGATTCCAAACGTTCTCCTGGACTTTAAGGACAAGCCTGATTTAATGTCTAGACCAATTTCTCCATCCTAGTCTGGTGTGTTGTCATAAATACGCTTAGTCCAAAATCATCACCACAGGAAAGAACAGATGATAAATTCACTCAGGGAGTGAACCAACAGCATGGAATTTGAGCTTTCTTTTAAGGAAAAGCACAGAAGAATTAGCAAAGGAAACAAAAGAGACAGGTCACTCCAGGCACAAGTTATTTTATACTTCAGTTTTCCATGTTGCTCAGAAGCAAGGAAGTTTCAGAAATACTGGTCATAATAAGGAAGGAATTTTCTCCTGAACTACTAAATGTCAGACTCGTGGCTCACAAAATTTGGCAGAGGATTTTGAAACAAACCTTCCTCCCGCCTTAAGGCAGTAAGTGCCTCCCAGCTCTAAGGCAAGAGGGGAGGTCCTCACCAGTCCACAGGAGGCTCCCACAGGAGACAGTCTGATAATGAACCAGGCACAATTATCCAACCCAAGATAAAGAAAACTTTAAAGGGAAAATAACACTTCACACCCTTTCACCCCACCCCTCCTTCCCCCCCACTTTAATCTTCTTCAGTGAGACTAAAATAAGGTGAGACTACAAAAAGAATTTCAGTTTGAAATTCCCTTCAACTTTAGATTCACAGCTCTGTATTCCATTTCCTAAAGACAACAGAGGTTAAACTTAAAATGTGATATTGTCAATACAAGCCAGTAAGGAAAATTAAATATCCCCTTATCCTCAAGCACTCATCTCAACAAAGCCCCTGAACTTTATTTAGGACTACATCATCAGAAGGGTTTTGAAAGCAGAAAGGTATATGCACTCATAGCCTTTCATGCACCTTGCATTTGCTTCTCCCTAAAGAGCTGCAAATGTTCCAGACTTCAGAATAAAAGGGACTGACAGACCAACAGAGGGAATAAGCCTGCAGTTCTCTCACACACCTCCTTTTGCATACAGACACTGGAGCACAACAGCTATGGCTGGGCCAAGCTGACAGAATGACTCCAACCAGGTGTCCACAGCTTCAGTCTGGAACTTTTCAAAGTCTGAAAAAGCCTTCTCAAGAATACAGGGACACACAGAAGTTTCATGATTTTTCACAGGTACCTGGAATCAGGTAGACACTTCCAAATCTAAAATTTAAATGCCTTTAAATTTTTCCATTAGCTCACTGAGAGCAATGTAGCAGTTGGGAGTTATTTCAAGAGCCTGACTACCACACATTGTTTTTGTTCTGTGAGGATGTTCAGCATTCACCAAGAAAGAAAAGCTTGTTTTTTATTCTAACATATGGCAGTCCTATGGAAGCTTGCAGGGTTCCCATGCCTGTCTTTTGCTGATGAATTCAGAAGTGTACCATGCTGTTCCAGGTTTCTGATTCCTCATTCCTAAAAAGCCATATGGGATAAAGGGAAGCCTCACAGAAAAGGCAAGCACTATAAAGCATCAGCTTCCTAAGTACATACTCTCATCTTAAAACAACTGTGCTCCAGTATGCCATGACAGACATGGATTTCTTTGCATTTTCCAGACACAAAGGAGGTGTCTACAATATGTTCAACCCCCTGCCAAATGAATATTCACCTAACTGGGATTCCTATTCCCTGACATTTCTGTTTTACATGTACGTTAATGTACTGCAGTTTCTTAATCAATTCAGTGACATCTTTCAAGGCAAAAAACCTTTACAAGAACAATAATTTTTGAAGACCTGAGTACAAATTGGAGCGTCAGATAGAACAGGGATTAATGAAAATACTGAAAAGCAAGTGTTTTTAAGAATTTTACCTGATGTTCAAAATAAATTTATTCACAGTAAAGGCAAACATGTTTTTATGTCAAATCCTTACATAATACATCCTGTCACTAAAATCTTCAAACGCTTGAGACAGCCTCAGAGTGAGCTTCTTTTAATCTTTCAATTAAAAGCTCCCAAAGCAAATCACTCCTACTC